ATAGGTGTGATAAATAATATTTTGGTAGAAAATTGGTTGAAAAACAAAATAAAAAAATATCTAGATATTTAGACCTTCCTTAGTCATTAAGTTAGGACCCAAGCTTATTTCCTATAAATTGAGAGCCTTGTCTCAATTTCACACATACACACATATCAACAGCCAAGGAGAGGGTGAGAGAAGGAGAGTGTGATTAGGGAGAAGTAGAGAAGAAGAAAAAAAGAAAAGGAAGAAAAAGGGTGCCTTCTTGAGTCAAGGTAAGAACACTTCTTCCCCTTGTCTTCTCCAATTCTTTCACCATCCCATCCTATTGTTAGATGCCCTCTTGTGTTGCATATTAATAGGAAATAGGGTTTTTGATGTATATAAGAGTGGGTTTGATTTAGTGACTTTGCCTTACAAATTTGTAAAACACTACAACAAAAAACACAAACGGCTACTAAAAAAAAAAAATTCGTCGCTGAAAGTGCATGAAATGGCGACTAAAATGGAATTAGTCGCCGAAAAGCAGGTTTTTAGCGACTAAAAGGGTTTAGTCGCCGAACAACGTGTTTTTAGCGACTAAAAGGAAGTTTTGTTGCCTAATATACGGTTTTCAGCGACTAAAGTTTGTTTAGTAGCCAAAAGTCACGGTTTTTAGCGACAAAAATAATTTAGTAGCGAAAAGGTAGGGTTTTGGCGACTAAAAACAGGTTTAGTCGCTGATTATAGCAGTTTTGCCGACTAAAAGCAATTTAGTCGCTGAAAGTGGAGGTTTTGCCGACGAAAATCCATTTTAGTCGCCGAAAGTAGTGGTTTTGGCGACGAAATTTCTGTTTAGTCGCCAAAAGTGCTGATTTTTAATTGAGAACTTGTTTTTTTAGCGACAAATAAATAATTAGTAGCCCAAAATAATACAATTAGCGACTAAAAAATGGTTTTAGTCGCCAAAAGTCGCCTAATTTTTTTTTTATTAAATAATTTATTTTTTGACAAAAATTATATTGAATTAAAAAAATTATATTTATAAATATTATTTTGTATTAATTGCGGTTACTATAGTATATAAATAATATATATTGCATATATGATCATGTGATGATGTACTGGCATAGTGGAGGGAGTGTTGTGCAAAGGGTTTGGCGTGTGCAAAGGGACGTTGCAAGTTCGAAACTTGTTGGGAGCAACGGAGGCAAAAAAAATTTTTTTTCTGAAAATACTTTCAGCGACTAAAGTGAATGGTCGCCAAAGGTATTAATAATAAAATAAAAATGAACTATTGGCGACTAAAAGTTTAGTCGGCAAAGGTATAATTTCCAATACAGAAATTGACTATTGGCGACGAAATATTTAGTCGCTGAAGACATATATATTGGCGACTAACAGTGTTTTAGTCGCCAAAGGCATTCGCGACAGTTTATTGGCGACAACACGGGCGACTAAACTTTTTTGTCGGGAAAAGTGAAATTTTGACATTTGGCGACTAAAATCGGACCTTTGGCGACTAAAAATTTAGTCGCCAAAGGTGTATTTTCTTGTAGTGAAATTAGGCACTGCTGTAACTTCTCTAATTTAAAAGAAATATCAAATTTATTTATTTCTTCAATCTGAATTTAATGTAGGCTATTTTGTGTGTTTAGAGCTTTTGGTAATTTTATTAGCCCCTAATTGTGTGTTTTCAGGGCTTGCATACTTTGTTTAAAAATCTGGTCCTAAGTCTCTAAAAAACAGTCCACTTCTTGCAATTTTATAAAATTTCAGAAAAATCATCTCAGGTTGGTTCTTTTATACAAATTTATGATTTTGAGTCCTCTTTTCAATGGAATTTATTTGGGTGAAAATCATTGGATAGATTGAGAGCAAAGCTAGTTTTCTCAACGGGTGACAAATCTGGACAGGTTTTCGAATATAGCTTGTAGATGAATTTCTAGAGGTGCTATGCACATTCTGTGAATTGGAATTGCAACTAGACAGGTTAATTATTATTTTTGTGAAATTTCAGCCCCTAATTTGACCTAGAAGTATTTTTCCCAAAGCACTCTTGTTAGCCCTGCAGAACCGAGCAGTGCCGGAAATGGTGTTTTGTTGTGTTGTTTGTCTCTAAGTATTTTAAAGCATGCCTAATGTTATTTGCTTGCCTTACCATACCTATGTAAGATTATCATGGGCTATATTTCATTTCTTATGTTTGTCTCGTGCTCTTTTATATTACCGAATTACCGAATGTGACTAACTTGCTTGGTAATAGATCTAATAAATGGGAAATGGAAAGGGGTTGGTAATGGGTGACGTTTACTCCTATGCTTCAGAATGATTTATGTAATACACATGTGAATGGGATTAAAACCAACTGAGTTAAGTCTTGCACAAGTGGTCTAAGCGAGGCCCTAGGTTGACACGGAAGTATTCAGACTCTATGCGGTGTTTCAGGGTGTAAGCGAGCCCTTTGGTATGGTATGTGCAGGGTGTAAGCGAGCCCTAGACACGATTTGGTATGGTATGTGCAGGGTGTAACCGAGCCCTAGGCACGATTTGGGTGTAAGCGAGCCCACTTGTTTGGCCGTCCCTTTTGAGGTCCATCAATGTCATTGACCGGTAAATAGCCGGGAGGAGGGCATAGATGGTAAGGTCTGCAAAGCAACAAAAGGGGGAGTTCTGAATAGTCCGGTGTTCAATCCTTGTGGTTGGGTAGAAGGATCTCTTTGGGGGATTCTATTCGTCTAGTCTAACTACTAATTCATAGAACCTTGTTGTAATATTGTAAGTTATGTTACCCAATTTGTTCTGTGTATGGTTGATTGGTTGATAGAAGATATGGGGGTGTGTGTGTTTTTACTAGGCATTCCAAGCTCATGGCGTGTCATGCCAGGTGATGAAGCAGTTTACAATGGTGAAGGTTATTTTGAAGGCAAATAAGATAAAGTGTTGGAGCTGTGGTCTATTTGAAGACTTAGACTAGTTGTTTTGTTTTTTTTCCTTTTGACCTTTGGTTTGGCAATGTTTTGGTAATCCTGTAATGGAACATAAACGAATTACCTGTGATATTAACTTTGGTTATATATGCATATTAAGATGTTTTGGTTATCTATCCTACTTGTGTTGTATTATTGTATGTATTTGACGGCCCGAAAGTTGGGGCGTTACAATCACACTGTCACCGTCTAGACCACCACTGTGTTTTATGTTGTCCACCACCAGCACCACTGCGACAACCAGCAATTTCTCCAAGTATCAATCGTAATTTATGCTTATAATTTCTTGAATGTTGTAATAAACTTGAAATTTTCTTTTGCTTGTATGGACTTTATTCACGATATGTTTGTGTAAATGCTTAAGAGATGTTTTTCTCTCACACGACACAAAATATTATTGTATATTTTCATATTTGTCTGATGACATTTCATTTGATTTTGGCTGGGCCCATACTTGATAAAGAAGAACAAGCTTTTCCTCCAACTGAAGCTGATCAATGGATTTGCATTATTTCTAATCCTATCAACATTTTCTAATTGTAACTTACAACTTGAAGTAGCTATCTATAAGGGCTTGGATATAACATTTTCTGATAATGCCAAAGTATTAGCTAGGGATGGGTCGGACTGATCCACGTGCTCCATGGGTCTATTGGTCTTCATCTTCTCGATGTACGCTTGTAAAAGATCCAGTGGGCAGGTACCGAGACTAGAGTGGTTTCTCCCCGTGGACTCTCCGATGATTCAGTTAGACAAAAAATGGTATAAAAAAAATAGAGCAGTGAAAGTTGAGGGTTGAGGGAGAATATTATCCGTTACCAAACGTACTTTAGAAGCTTCCTTATACCCCTTACTAATCATTTCCTTGTCTATTCCAAACTGTCTCATTAGCTGAAAGTTTATAGCCTGGTTGTCATCGGTCACGGTGATTTTGCATATTTTAGTGTGAGAGGTTTTGCCGCATTTAATGTTATGACAACCTCATTTAATGCCTGATGTGTGAGTTCAATAACTCTGCAGGATCTCTGTCTGTCACATGGCTGACTCCCTATCTGACAGATGTTTAAATGTTACTGGACCTGGGCTAGTATCGGCTTCTCATTGCTATTAGGCTTTAACCATGCAACTATCTAGAAGGCTTAGGATAAAAGTGGGTTGGGCCTTCATGGGCCATGGGATGGGCGCTCCTGGGCTACGCCCATCATTTTCTTTTCTTTTTTTTAATTTTCTTTTTCTTCTTTTGTTTCGTTAGGAACAAGAATTTGAAAAACAATTGTAGATTAATAATATCTTTCCCTTGTTCGTGAATTTTGAGTGGTGTATAATGTAGGCTCACTGTTGCTTCTATTTAGAAATTGAAGTGCCCTTCTATATATTAAAAAGATTCAGTATATATTTAAGGCATTTTTTATTTTTTGATAAATAGGTAATAATTATTCATTGAAAGAAAAAAATACTTAAACCCACTTCAAAGGACTATTTGTATTGTATTTCATTTGCATCTTGCCCAGTTGAATTACAAATTCAATGTTTCAAAAGATTTTTATATTATATTTGATAAATATTTTATCCAGTCAAATTACAAATTTTAATATTCTAACACTTTTTATATTGTTCCTTATACTTTTGTTGGTGCATTTTCAACTAACAAAAGGTATTTACAAATAAATTTAATGTTCTAACAAGCTCTTTAAATTGAGTCGAATATTCACACAAAAATTAAGCTGATCGGATATCGATAACTATAAATTTTAATCACATTTGTTTCAAAAAGATAGGCAACAATTATAATTTTAAGAGCAGTCATACATTTTTTATAATACGAATGTGATATATAGGTCCCGATATTCAATCATCTTAATTTTTTGTATATATATTTTACTCAACGAGCAGAAATAAATTTTGTGTGTATTTTGTACTAAAATATTTTAAAATATATTAAAATCTCAAAACAATGATATAATAGTTTTTCAAAACGTAAGCACTTGAAATCGTCTTTGACAATTTTGGATGAATAGATATCGAAAAAATACATGAATTAAAAAAATATATCCAAAACGAACCACCGAACATTAAGTTATTGCTTATTGAAATCTTAACTATGATATTTTCAGCTTCAGTCATCTTATGAATTCTGTAGTCTATAAAAAGCAAATATATGATGTTATGTACAAAATGATCTATAATATCATATAAAACTTTGTTATATTATGCATCTGTGGCGGACTGTATATTTGTGGCAAGCATCATCTCTTGGCATATGTTTCAATTTGAGTAATGTCAAGGATTCTGTTTACTCCGCTTGCCATGAGAAACCTGAGAAAATTCAACATTTTTAAATTATCGATGAGAACCATAAATCCATGGAGAGGACTACTATATTTCACCAATTGGATTTTACTCCTTTTTTTTCTTTTAAATTTAGTAATTTTAGGTACTTATAACTGCTATTTAGACTAAAAAAATAGTATCTGAACCAAATTCATTTAAGTGTACAGTGTTGATAAATTTACACCACACTTGTTGATCCCTGTGAGGCCTATCCGGGTTTGTTTTTATGATCCGAATTATATATTTTATAAGATCCTTTGTATATATCCTTTATCCAAAAAATTAAATCAATCAAATACTTGTAACTTATTCAATTTATCATATGTGTCTTTAAAAAAATTAACAAAAAGTGTTTTTGAAAATAGATCATTCATATTTTTTTGGTAACAAATTCGATAAATTAAAAAAATTATAATTATCGGATCGATCTAATTTTATATATGAATGTTATACACGTAGTGGACCGTTTCAAAATGTTGTGAGATGGAGAATGTGACATATAATACCTGTCTCTAAGAGTTGTTGTCATGCTTTTGCAGCCACCAGGAATCGTAGATTGCATATTTACAGCAACATTTGGGTTGTGAATACTCTGTCGAATGTGAACCCAACCATATTGCCCATGTTCTTCGTCTGAAACTTTAGCCCTATAAGTGCCACAATAGCCAACTTCATTTAGGATTTAGCAATGTATATATATATATTTTTATAACTCAGTACTCGACCCATTGGATCAACTAATTCGGGGAGAACAATCCCATCACCCACTTGCAGGGTCCAAAGTCAGGACAAAATTTGGCAATATACATATTAAGAAGAATGAGCTTAGAACCTTAGAATAAAAAGGATTCCAATTAAAGTCAGGGCAAAAGTCCCGTATGGACCTTAAGAATTGTTTACACCTAAAAAATTTTGAACTTGAAACTTTGGAAGAAGCATAATTCCAAACCCCAAGCCTTAACTACCGGGCCAACCCTTGAAGTTGAAATATATGTAGTTATATGACATAGATACCTGTACATGTGAGCATCAATGGCAGTCGGTTCATCATTGGAGTCTACAAGACAGCCTTCAGTGACCCAACAATCTCCACAGGAGTCCAACTGCCACCCTGGTATCCTTCCGTCCTACATTCAAGGGAATAAATAGTTTCTTAGAAGCTTATTACTACTAATTAAACTTCAATTCATTTTGAATTTTCTGATTTGGCCAAGTGAATTCACCAATTTGATTGAATTTTGCTTTGAATCTGCCAATTCCTGCAATAGAGCATGATTGACCTTTGTACTTTAAGAGGAATTAAGTTGTTCATAAGATTTATTGTCTGCTCTGATATCATATTATTGATCACTAACTCATTTAAAAACTTAAACTATTAGAGAGGAACAACTTTATTATTTATATTATATTTTCAACAGTTTCCCAAGCAACAATCACTAGTAACTAGAAATTCTCAGCAATAGAATCTGATTTGAAACACTAGAATTGATAATTGTGTGCAATTGAAATTTTTTGTTTTTTAAGAGTCTGATTTTCAGGCGTTCAGTGGTGATAGCTACAGGAGAGAGGAAAGGTGGAGGTGAGAGTGAAGGGAGAGGTGATCACAGTATATTTGTGAAGGATAAAATTCGGGCAGGGCTCACAAATTAGTTGACGTGGTCTATTTTTATTGATTCTTTTTATATCTTACATTTACAGGATAGCCGTATAAAACTTATTCTTAAAACTTGTATTTTGTTGTTAATGCATATATACCTCAACGAAGTTTCTAAATACTTCAATAGCCTCAATAGCTTTTGCCTTTGCATGTCTAGGCTCGGAGAGGACATTCATCCTTAGCTCTATTGATTCCAGTGGTTCTTCAAGATCTTTGATCAAACTACCCACGCCTTCATCTGATCCTTCAAGCTTCATACGTACCATTTCAATGATGATTTTTACCACCATGTAAGCACCTGAAACATATTTTAATTATGCACATTAGGATAATATAAGCAACATGAAAGTAATAATAATAATAATAATAATAATCATCTACATGGTTAGAAATGTTAAAATAATCGGTACTTGTACGGCGGACCAACAACTAAAACGTTAGGGCCAAAAGAAAAATATGAGATTGTTAGAATAGGACTCTCTGTAATAATCTCTCTAGTTTAGGGGGTGTTTAAGGATTGTTTAAAGATGATTTCTAATTAATTGGGTAGTCAAACCATTGTAAGGAATTTTATAATTTATTGCAAAGATTTTTTATTTTTTATTTTTTTTTTTGGATCAGCGAAGAAGAGGGAAACTTTATTGATGAACAAAGATAGATTACATCAATAAAGAAGAAGGGGAAGGGGAAGGAGAGTGCAAAAAATATCATAATGAAAACAAATAAGTCCTAACTAGGTTGGCACCGATAAGACTGCCCAATCATATGCTAGCACACCGCCCAAAGTTGGTGAGTAACCAACCACAAACACCAAACCCAACCCCAACCAAAAAAGCTAAACAGCCAAACCAAAGCCAACAGATACAGAGTCAAAAGCATTAGTAATAGTTGGTAAACTCAACAGCCACAAACAGCATCAAAAAAAAAAAAAACACAAGCAACAACCGCAGAAGTAGTAGTCTCAACTGGATTTTCTGCCCTCATAGCCTACACTAGCAATCAAAAAAAAAAAAAACTCTTCCCATGTACTCCTTTTGATCTTAGAGACAACTTCTCACCTGCATATTGAAAGCAACATCCGTGATAGAAAATGAGTAGCTTGGATCAAAAGATTTCCACCAGATATCTACCCGAACTTTAATAAGATCACATAATTCCACCAGATTAGGTTGTATACTAGAAAATAAGCAATCATTCCTACATTTCCAAATTGGCTATATCACAGCTGCTAGAATAACTCTCCAAACTTGACTTTCCTTTTTCCTAAATTTCTAACTCATCCACCATTGTAGCAACCCTTCCAATGACCCTGGAACTACCCATGGCAACCCCCATCACTGCAGTATATTTGACCAAATTTTCCATACAGCATGACAGAAAAGAAGGATGTGATTCAAAGACTCCACTGCCTCCTTACAAAAAACACAAGATAAGGCAACATTGCCCCTCAAGACTCCAATTCTACTTAGAAACTCAGTTGTCTTTAATCTACCTTTCCATGCTAACCAGATAATAAACTTGGGTTTAGGTGGAGCAAAAGTATTCCAAATTAGTCCTGTGGAGATTGATGCTATACCATTTGCCAATTCACACTATTTATAAGCAATATTCACCTTGAACTCCCTAGTTGGATCTGCCTTCCATCTCATAGAATCACCTTGTTCCAGATGCAGACATGGACCAGCACCCAACAGAGCAATAAGCCTTGAAATTTCATCCTCTTCCCAAGCATGAAGAGATCGTCGAAAACTAAAGCACTGTTCATTAGACAAGGCTTTCCTTGATAGCATCATACTCAATGAGATCTCTTTCTCTTCTCTCAACTGGTACAATCTAGGGAACTTAGAGCCAAGGCTAGCTTCTCCCTTCCATACATCAACCCAAAATATTATTCTCCTACCATTGCCAATTGTAATTTCTACATTCTCCCTATGAAAATTAGATAGATCCGGGTTGCTATGTGCTAATCCCACTATATATATCCTTCTAGCTTTTAGATACACTACCTGAATCTGGGATCAGTGGCGGCCACTGTCCTCTAACAGATCCATATATACTACACACAATTGCTTTCCACAATGCACTCTCCCCTAAAGCAAACCTTCACCACCATTTTAATAACATACACTAATTTGCCAATCTTAAATCTCTGATTCCCAAACCCCCTTGTTTCTTATTCATTAATACTTCTTTTCATTGTACCAAATGAACTTTTCTCTAGGTTTCTATATCCCCCCACAAGAATACTACTTGCAATCTATCAATCTCCTTAGCAACACACTCTGGTATCTTAAATAATAACATGTAATAGATGAGCAATGAAGACAACACTGATTTTATCAAAACCATTCTACCTGCAAATGACAATAGTCTTCTTTTCCATCCTGCCAATTTCTTCTTGACCTTGTCAATAATTGGTTTCCAAGTTTGTCTTCGACTAGGATTGGCACCAAGAGGCAGCCCTAAATACTTCAAAGGAGTTGTTGACCTAAACAATTTGGTTTACCTGCATACTCCTGCACCAACTCGTCAACCACACCCACTCCACAAACTACACTTTTATGGAAATTTATTCTTAACCCAGATACGATTTCAAAGCATCGTAATACTTTTTTAATTGCCTCAACTTTTGACTAGGCAGCTTCACAAAGAAATAAAGTATCATCCGCAAACTGAAGATAGGAAACATTAATCCTTCTAGAACCCACTTCCACCCCCTTAATAATTCCCAACTCATTTGCTCTCTTCACTAAAATGTTAAGCCCTTCAGCTACAACATTAAAAAGAAAAAGTGAGAGTGGGTCTCCTTGCCGTAACCCTCTTTGTGGACAAAATTCATCAGATAAAGAACCATTCACAAGCACAGAAACTCTTGCTGAAGAAATACATTCTTTCATCCACTCCTTTCATCTAGAGCCAACCCAAAATTCTCTAACATTTGTAGCAAAAAGTTCCAATTTACCGAATCATATGCCTTTCAAAATCCAACTTTAGAATTAATCCCTTTCTCTTAGACTTTTTCCACCAATCTACAACCTCATTAGCAATGAGAACTGCATCCATGATGTTTCTCCCACCCAAAAAAGCAGACTGTACACTGTCAGTGACAGAAGCCAACACTTGCTTGAACCTATGTGCCAATACCTTGGATAAAATTTTATAACAGAATTTATCAGGCTAATTGGCCTGTAATCACCAAGAGATGATGGGCAGTCCTTTTTAGGGATCAAAGTAATAAAAGAGCAATTAACTCCAAACCGCAATCTACTGTTTTTATGAAATTCACTCATGAACATCATTATATCCTTCTTTATAATTTTCCATCCCTTTTGAAAACATATCATGTTAAACCCATATGGTCCAGGGGCTTTGTTGTCATCACACTCTTTTATTGCTCTCCACATTTTTTACTCAGAAAAATCTTTTTCCAATAGCTCATTTGCTTAATTATAGTCCACCTTCTTGAAGACCCCACCAATTCCAAGTCTGACTCTCCACTTCTCTTCAAAATGCACCTTGAAATGGCTATAAGCTGCTAGTTTAATCTCCCTTGGCTCTTCTAATATATTTTCCCCAACCTTTATTGAATTAATCATATTCCTACTTTGTTTTAATGTTGCCATGACATGAAAGAACCTTGTATTCTTATCTCCTTTTAATGCCTAGTCCACCCTTGATTTTTGTAACCATATCCACTCCTTTCACTTCCTGAGTTTCCAAACCAGACCTAGCACCTCTTTTTTCCTACCAACCTCTTCCTAGTTAAAGGGTCTAGATTCAGCCTGTAGGTCAATTGAATGCAATTCTGATTCAGCATCTTTAATTTGCGACTCCACATTCCCAAACACCTCAGAGTTCCAATTTTTCAAGTGTAATTTCAATGATCTCGGTTTGGCAATGATGATGCACCTAGCCCACCCAACCAATTGTGTGTTTTCCCACACCTTTTGAATTTCCTACAGGAACATGGGATGATGCACCCAAGCATTAATAAACCTAAAGGGTTTGGGCCCCCAATCTCTATCATCCTCCATTAACACTATGGGGGCAATGTTCAGATAGTAATCTAGGTAAACCCCACACCTTAAGTTTGAACCACTCCAACCATTCCGGGTTTACTAAAAATCTGTCGATTCTACTCCAATGCTGTGAATTACCACATGTATACTGCCTCCATAACATTGGCATATTCATTAGCTCTAAGCTGTTAATGAAACTGTTGAAATCTTGCATTCCCCTCCTCCTCCTTAAGCAACCTTTTCTCTCTACTATTGATGAGACTTCATTAAAATCACCACCTAAACACCATGGTTTAGGAAATGATTCTTTCAGCCTGGACAACACTTCCCAAAAATGTCTTCTATCTACCTCCTCATTAGGCGCATAAATATTACAAATTACACACTCCAGACTAGAGTAGATCATACCTGCCATTATCACAAACCTCCTAAAGCTACAACAATCTTTTAAAGCAAACACATTAGGTCTCCAAATGCATAATAGACCACCCGCACTGGCTTTCGTATCCACAGGCATGAACTCCATTGAGTCAAATGGCCACAACGACCTCACAACACTTTCATCAACATCTGATTTTTTTGTTTCTTGTAACAACACCATATCCACCATTTTTTCTCTTAAAATCATCTTAATCCTTCTTCTTTTCTCCACTCTTCCAATCCCTCTCACATTCCATGATAAGATCTTCATTAGGAAACTAACAATACTCTTATGCACCCTTTTGATGCTCCACTATGCACCATCGACTTCATGTACACCTGCAACTCTTATCTCATCATCCTCCTCCATCTGAACAATCTTGTTTACTAATTCAGCCTCATATCCCCCAAAATTCAACCCCAAAGCTTTGCCTACCTGAATTGTATCATGTGCTTCCTTTAACATCTTTATCTGGCTAACTGAGTTATTGGTTAATGAGATTGAGGTTGATATTGTTGCTACAACTCCATGAAGTAAAGCTCCACGTTGAAAACTACCTCGAAACAACATCCCTTTCAACCTTGATTTCCATCTGAAGCTTGATTCCTTCTCCCTTCTGATCCCTCTGATGTCCCTATTCCCTTCTAGTAGAATCACTTTACCTCTTCTTCTTTAGAGTGACAATTCATTCCCCTGATTAGAATGGACTTCCGTCAATGATACATTCACCAAATCAGTGGGTTGTTCGGCATTATGACTATAGGAGTTAGCTCACCTTGCTGCCTATTGGTGTGCTTACTAGTCCTCGCCCCATCAATTGTGCCCTTGCTAAGCTCCTCAAGCCTAAATCCTGACATATCAGGCTCAATACAGACATCACGAGGCTTGTCATTATTTAGTACTACTTCCAATATAATATTGGGCCTACATAAATCAGTCACCCCAATACTTCTCAAAAAGCCTATCAGATCCCCTTTTGTCTCTGACTCTTCGTCTCCCCCACTCATCTGCACATTGGTCGGCACAATCAGGCATGCCGCCCTTGGAACTTGTATACTGAATTAGTGTCGTCCCCCCTACAGCTTGAGCTACCATGTTTGTATCTAATTCATTCACCATTGATAATGATGAATAATTGCAAGCATGCCCCTCATTTACCTACCTATCTTCCATTTTGCCCGCTGTCCTCCCTACTATGTCACCTTGACCGTCCAGCTCAGCCTTTTCACTTGCCACATCCTCCTCTTCCACCTCAACCTCTTTGCAAGCCACCTCAACCTTTTTGCAAGCCACGTCCTCATCTTCTTCCTTCTTCCCTTGGTACTACACAGAACTTTGATCAAAACCAGTATTGTGCCCTACCGAGTCCCATTCACGTAGTTTTCCTTTACATATGCAACGGCACTCATGCAACCCATCGCCAAAGATATTTTCCTCTACTACATGAATGGGATGAGTACTGTCCCTCTATTCTAACAGCATCATTTTATCAATTCTTTCCAACTGGTTTGTGCAGATTCTGATTCTACCACATGCCAGGGAATCCATGCTTGTGATAATATTATCCACATCTAGCTCTACTATCTTACCCCACAGTTCCCCTATGCATTGGAAATTTTTTGTATTCCATAAATTAGGTGGAATACCAAAACATCGAAGTCAGACTGATCTCTCATTCTCCATTTTCATTCCACATATCTATCTAGTAAAGCTCTCACGCCAGTCATAAATCCATGCTTCCATCTCCTGCATTATAACTTCCATATCAGCTTCAGAAAAAAAGGATAGAAACGCTATCCTCCTTCCACCTTCTCTAACTTTTAAATCCTTCAACCCCCTACTGATGAATTCCAACTTTAGATCCAATAGGTTGCAATGATCTCGCAATTTTAATACTACGCTTGAATACAGCCAGCCATTTCCATACTCCTCTGCTATTATTCTGTAGTCATTACCTTCGCCGCCTTTGATACCTTTCACCACCTCAGCGTGGGAGCCCTTCCTTCCGTTTCTAGTTGTGTTCAATCTCCCTAGTACTTCCGATCTCTACTTAAATGATTCATTTTTCACTTTGAACTGATCTTTCCCAATTTGTTCATTCCCATACTCTGCCCTTTTTACTTTTAAGACCTTGTCTTCACACCATATCCCATTGGTTTTCTAAACTGCCACTCCAACCGCAATGGGATAGTCATATCGTACAAAACCAAATATGGACTGTTGTACTCTCCTCCTCTTATTTGTAATAAAGACATCCTTAACAACTCCAAACTTTGAAAATAGTACGTATAAACCTTTTGAGTTCATACCATAGGGTAAATCATCCACAAACACCATATGAATGGCTGCCGATGTTCCATACCTTTGTTACCGTCTTCTGAACACTAGCTTCCAACTGCCTCCAGCTTCCATCACACACCCTTCCGTTCCGTTACTACAAAGAGATTACTGTAGATAAATTATTGCAAAGAATCCAACTCCAAGATTATTGGACAGTGAGTTCGGTAGAATTTAAACGGTTTCAATAGTTATTAAATTACTATTTAATGAAGTCAATTAAACATATAAAAAATTATGCAAAAGCTATAATTGTTTCAATTTAGACCGAATACCTCCTTCTTGAAGCTCATAAAATTATTTGAATGTTACTCAATGTGTCTTAGGCACTATCTAAAAAAGAGAAGAAATTTTTTTTGTCTTATTACCAAAAAGTTTCACACATAACCCATAAAATTTCACATATAATCCAATTAAAAATGGTATAGGAACCACATAAGACATAAATTTATTTCTAGCAAAGTTTACTACTTGCAGCATTTTTCTTTTTGTTTTTTGATTTCATGTCAATCAAGGAAATTATTTTCACCTTTTATTAGAAAGCATTTTTAGCATGTAATTTATCAATGACTTTTAACATGAGATTTGATTGAATTTTTGGAGATCCATTACATGTTGGCATTAAAACTATATGAGCAACCTCGTTGAAATTGGAATTTTAAAAATTTTGCGGAGATTGAGTTGAATTTTTTTTTTTTTTTGGGTATAAAAAAGTGAAAAAAAAAAAAAAGGTTTAGGTGAGGAAAGGCTATCCTCGTCTAGGGACAGGGCAAGTCGCAGGTCTTAGGGAGAATTTATATTGGATTTACAGACTGTCCATCAATGACGACTATTAACCGCAAGAATCAAATCGAAGCCTTGAAGACAAAGAGTCTAATCCTTATCAACTCAATCAACTACGGTTGAGTTGAATTTTGAGAAGTCATTACACAAGATTTAATCATTATTAAATGGAATTCCTTACCTAAAGTGGTATGTTTTAATTCTTCTCAATCACCGCGGTTTCGTTTTAATGATTTAAAATATTCATTATAAAATGCTCTATATATATGTTATTCATAAAAAAATTAAATCGATCAGATAACAGTAACTTTTTCATTTTATTGCGTCTGTTTTTTTCATTTAAAAAAAAAATAGACAACAAATGTATTTTTGAAAATATATCATCTATATTTTTTGCAATAAATATGATGAACTTAAAAATTACGATTATCAGATCGGTTTAATTTTATATAGATCATACATATGGAAAACTTTATAAAATGATGGTTTGGATTATCCAAGAGTAAACTCCTAACGGGCTTTACGATCGCCAATATGGCAGATTAATTTAAATTTGAACCCATTTTGTTACTTGTATTTCATTACTATTTTGTCTAAAGGAAAATATGAAAAGGAAAAGAAGCATAGGGCACTGACCATCGTCAAGAAAATGATTCTCCTTCAAAGCGCCATGGCCAGAAGTTTCCATCATGAGATGAGCTTCAACACCATCCAGATTAAGCTGAACACCCTTATCAATCACATTCCTATACCCGACCCTATACAAGCAATGCCGACCACCTCTCTCCGTAATGAACCTCGTCAACGCCATGCTCGTCCGAGCATCGGTCACAATCGTTGTTCCCGGGTGTTCTCTCAGCACAATAGCCGCCATCAAAGCAATGAGCTTGTCGCCATTGATGGGGTTTCCTTCTTTGTCAACAACACCGCTGCGGTCCACGTCGGTGTCGAAGACGATTCCGAGGTCGGCGGAGTTGGAGAGGACTGCAGAGGTTGTGAGGGACATGGCGGTTTTGTCTTCGGGGTTGGGGATGTGGTTGGGAAACATGCCGTCTGGTTTGAGGTTTAGTGAGCCGAAAGTGTCTGCTCCGAGTTTGTCAAGTACGTCCCATGTGAAGAAGCCTCCTGATCCGTTTCCGGCGTTTACTATTATCTGTATGGAGTTCATGTGAGATTTCATCACAATTTTGTTGGTTTTCTTAGCTGAAAGAAATCAATTTTGAATATATTTTATGTAGAGGGCCGTTTTATATGGAAAATTACACTAGTGTTTTCAAAAAATATTTATACATTTATCGAGAAATTTATGATTTAATGTTTTAATAATTATAAAATTTATCATTAATATGTAATTATTTTTCAAAACTTACACTGAAGAGATATTTTTTCCATTTTATGTTACGTAGTTTTTAAGTGAAACAAAAATTTTAAGGATTTATTAGTTTATATGACTTTACTTATTTTATAAATATATTAAGTTGAAAATATACACACATGTTATTTATTAGGGAGATTTGTTTTTAAATCTCTGATATTAACATTTTATAATATAAAAGACATACAATATTTTTATAATAGTTAAGGTTCTTCAACATTTTCACCGAAAAAATTTAACTCAGAGAAATTTTATTCCGACTCAGAGAAATTTCAATTTCACAGAGAAATTTGTTTGAGAGAGAGATGCTTCACTAATTTTCTCTATTTATTATATGAATCCATATGTATATATATATATATATATATATAAATCAATCCTATTCATATCGTGCCAAATCATTTTTTCTAAAGGGACCTTTAAACTTTTTTTTTGGGGTGGTATATTGCAAGAACGACTTTATACTGTAAGAGATTGGCATAGAGGATGAGCACTATGGTTTGATTTTTAGAAATTTATTTCAGAATTTTTTTAAATTAAAAATTAATTTAGTGAAAGAAATAAAAAAAATCAAAAATACTTATTATTTTTATATAATTTTGTCTTTTGGGTGGTCATAAATAATTTTTAAAAATTTAAAATAAATTTTTTGATATTTATTTTTATTAAACTAGTTTTTAATTTTACAAAAAAAAAATCAAAATACAAACAAAACAAGGCCGAGATGTTTCAACACCGTATTATTATGAATGCAACTTTATTTTAGGAAGAATTACATATCAGTGAAATGTAGGAAAAATATTTACAAAAATGTGAAAAAAATTGTAATTATAATTATTAATATTTATAGTATTTTTTATGCACCCCACTTATATGTAATTCTCCCTTTATTTTACCTGTTCTCATTCAATCAATTTAAAAATAAAAAATAATAGAAAAAAGAAATTCTATGGTGAGGGGAAGGGGATTAAACCTTGCATGATGTGCTCAACCATTCAAAAAGAAAATTACTTAGTATTATTGGAGTAAGATCGTGGGCTACTTAATTTGATTTTTATTGATTTAAACAGTGAAACTTAGCATTTTTATATTACTTTCTTAAAGAAAAAGAATAATAATAATAATAATAATAATAATAATAATAATAATAATAATAATAATAATAATAAAAGGTGACAAGTTTCCCGGGTTAAATAGTGTGGGGGCATTTGGATTGGATGGAGTTTGTTCTTGGGCTTGGTTGGAGAACCGAAACCAACCAGGGCCTAGACATTCTGGCTGTTTTGTGAAAAGGCTGGGTTAATTTGAGTGTGCAAGAAAGTCATGTAAATGAAACCAGGCTAAAATCCAAGCGTCGTCATGACTCATATAGCCCATGAATTGAATTGTAAGCTTTTGCAATATGAACAAAAGACCCATTCATTGTTGTACTTTCCAAAATACAAAATTTGGATAAAATTCAAGGCAAATGGGCGAGGGCGGACCTAGGGCTGGGTATTAGTGGCTGCAGCTCAGTCTAAAATTTAAAAAATTTGTAGAATTTTTTTTCTCAGCCCAGCCCAGCCCAGCCTTCAAACCTCTCCCAGCCCAACCCCAAATGAGGGCTAATAGTGTTTTTTTATTTGTTTTTCAGATAGGTAGCCCAATAGCAACCTAATACTTATCCAAAAAAATAAATAGGCAGTCCAATAGGTTTGTATTTATTTAAGAATAGATCTTTCAAAACAATCCTCACATCTTCCAATAGATAGGCAACGACCCTCTCTCTGTCGTCTGCAGTAGCCCGCAACAGCACCACTTTCCTAACATTTTTTGTAAGCGTAATTAACCAATTATTTTATTTCTTTGGTTGAGAATGGATTTGATTAACAATAGTTTTGAAATTTTGTCTTTATGCAACAAATATTATATTGCTTTTAGTTTTTTTTTTTTTTTTTTTTATGATACTGCCTTGTTCAATGTTCTATATTACTCTTAGTTTTTGAAATTTGGAGGAGTTTTTTTGGACATATATAAAAATAATAAAAGCCTAAATAAAAATTATTGAGGATATATATAAAAATCCTAATATTTAAAATTATTGCGAATATACTCTGGTTTAATATTAAATATAGCTTCTTTTTTTTTTTTTTTTTTTGAGGTTATGAATGAAAAAGACAAAACCTTTTTCTCATTCTATCAATCAAAACAAAAGTCTAATATTACAACATCCAATATTATTGAAACCTCATTTTCTAATGTGCAACTGCCTTCCATGCCTTAATCAAATAAACCAAGCGAATTTGATTCAACTGTTATTGAACGGAATCCTGGTTTACGCTTACAAATTTGTAAATATCCGATTAATCAACAGGATGAAGTTAGACGAATTTATGTGAATTTGAGGCCTTATCAACCTAAACTTGAGTATCCTAGGTCCTTCATTTAGAAAGCAAAATCGTCGACTCCAACATATTTGGTTTAAACAATTTTCTTAGCTAGAGTATTCTCCGTCAAAGGATAAAGCATATTGTTTTTCATGCTTTTTGTTTGATCAACCAAATAAGTCGATCAGTCATTTTGCGCTTGTTGATGAGAGGTATAACAATTGGAATAGAGTAAATCATGAATCTAAATGTGTTTTTTTGCTTCATGTCAGACTTGCATCTCCATCGCATAGTCATTGTGTTATTAGTCATGACAATTTAAAGAAATCTTCCCAACACATTGAAAAAGTGTTGAATGCGCAATCAAAAAGAAGAGATTTTGACGAATCGAACACGGGTAAAGGCAACAATTGAAACCATTCAAGTACTTGTTCTTCAAGGACTTGGTTTTAGAGGTCATAATGAAAGCTCAACTTCATTGAATCAAGGTAATCTAATTGAATTATTAAAGGTCACGGCAAGAGGGAATAATGCACTTGAGAGCATTATATTAAAGAATGCTCCACAAAATGCCAAATACACTTCTCCGAAGATCCAAAAGGAGATTTTGTATATACTTGCTACCAAAGTTAAGAATATGATTTTTGATGAAGTTACAAGAGATTGTTTTTGTATTCTTATTGATGAATCCCAAGGCGAGTCTAAAAAAGAACAAATGGCACTTATTTTGAGATACGTCAAGAATGATGGTTTGCTAAGGGAACAGTTCTTTGATATTGTGAGTGTCAAAAATACATCTGCATTGACTCTAAAAAAAAGAGATATCAAATATCCTTTCTCGATTTAATCTCCCTATTCAAAACATGTGTGGTCAAGGGTATGATGGTGCTAGCAATATGCGTGGCGAATGGAATGGACTTCAAGCTTTATTTCTTAAAAATTGCCCATATGCATATTATGTACATTGCTTTGCACATCGTCTGCAATTTGCTTTAATTGCGGCAGCAAAAGATAAGCCTAATGTTTGGCAATTTTTTTCTCACTTGAGTTATATTGTCAATCTTGTTGCATCTAGATTCTATAATCGATGAATTCGAATCTTTAAAGACTTGTCAAGCACAACTTAGATTGTTTCTAATCAATAAATTTAGATATTAATCTAGATTATATTATTAAATTCTCTTTTTTCTTATGTGGTTATACTTAAAATATATTGTATAATTATACCTTAATATTAGCCCACCCTATCGACAAATCCTGGGTCCGCCCTTCAATAGGGATGCAATTTATGTGCGCCATACACATGCAAAGATTCACAATTTATCAATAATGTTCCGGTGACCAAATTTGAATACAATATCGTCAATTTATTGACACAAGAGTAAAGAATTTAATACTCAAATTTGATCGCCATAACATTACTGAAAACAGAAATGGAGGTGAGAGTGGAAAACCTGAAATCCTTGTAGAGGAGTGTCATAGTGGAGGGGATGGTTGATTCTGTCTTTGATAATGTCACGGAGGTGTTTAGAATAAGCGCTCATGAAATCAACTCTTGTTGGAGTGATAGGAAGAGTGGTTGATACTTTAGCAAGCCTATTAGCATACTTACGAGCTGCTCTGTCACATATATCCTCAACCTCCAGTGATGTGAGGCCCCCTTTCCTCGTGAAAAATTTGAGGCCGTTGCGGGTGTAGGGTAGGTGAGAGGCTGTCATCTGCAACCACAACCAGATCGTTCATTCTCAATCTTATTTTTCATTTTAAATGTCTAACAAAATGAATGGTTCGAACATCGAAATAAGACCAGTGATAAGCACTACCAACATGAACAACACCCTTCAATCCATGATCTAAACTGAAGAGAAACCAAGTCGTTCTGATTATAACCCAAAACTGAACGGAGATGGTATAGACGCACCAAAGGGATGTCTATTTTTAGTTTTATTTTTTATTTTTTATCACTCGTTAAAAATTACATTAATCTAATTTAAGGAGAAAGGGAAATATGATCATTCCAATGCCCCACATGGGCTCGAACCCGCAACCTCTCTACTATAAAGGTTCGAAAAAATATCACTGTGGCACAAGAAAATTCTTTTGACTTGGAACAATTGTCCCAAATTTTACCCATAGTGTATATATGTGGTAAAAAATTGAATTGGCGTAGTGTAAGGTCTAAGTATGCAATGAATTCAAGTCATACATCGATATTTTTGAATAAAATTCAAGAAAACATTTCTGAATTTATAATGTTTTGTGTACAAAAAAAATGTATGATGAATGATGTCCTTCGAGTGTGCACAACAAATATGTACTAGGGACATATAGTAGCATGGCCCAAATCAAACATATAGAAAAACAATGCTAACCGTCAAAAGTTTGGGGCAGGCTCTATTACACTACCATTATCGAAGCATTATATTCAAACGGAGCCAACAAAGTACTCATGAAACAAGCTGGTGTGGTTGCTAATCCCATGTCAAACGCCACACATCCTGCTCGAGCCAGCCCTGCAAACACAGCCACACTTAACAATGCACCGGAGATACGGGGATCCCTCCCCAAGGACACCTTAACATCATCTTCCCCTTCCCTCTCCAACCCATTCATCAACCACTCTCCAAAACTCTCCGCAATCGCTTCCACCACTGGTGGTGTCAAGTCCACCGTCCTTCCTTTTTCGCCTTCCACTGCCACGCCCCGAACGTCTGACCCGTTTTGAAGCCTCCTAATCTTGTCCATTTCTTCATCTAATACAACTTCATTGTACTTTGTTGTGCTACTACTAATAGAGGATTTTATGCTTGTTTTTATGAGTATGTTTGAGGGTAGTGAAATTGAAAAGGTGAGGTTTGTGTGGAATGGTTTTGGTGGTGGCAATGATGGGAAAGTTGTTTTCCGGGCGGCGGTTTGGGGAGATAGTGAAGATGTTGCCATTGGTTTTCTGGTAGAGTTGGTGCCTTTGGGGGGTTTGAAAGATTATAAAGGTAGGTTTGTTTTGGACCAAAGAAAGAAACTTGGGAGGATAAGAGATTTTTACTCAATTGAACCATAACCCTACAATTCCAATAACTATATATATCTTGGCCAAAAATATCTGTAAACATACTTCCAAAAAATTTTTTTTTTCTTTCTTTGAGGCATTCTTCGTGTTGGTGGCATGTTTAGAATGTGCAGTTTACATATAATTCTTCATATGACAGAGAATAATGGTATATTCCAGTGTTTTACACATAAAACCAAAAATGGGATTCTGGAAACTTCATAGGGAAACTTGCATTGACCTCTTCTTCTGAGTACTAAAAACTTACAATTAACTCAAAAATTACACCGAACTCTCTTCAAAAAATTACAAAAGATTTCACAAAAGTCATATTGTAAAATATATTACACTTGCAGAGACCTAACGTTCTAAGGTTGGTAAGCGGCTAATTATTTTGGGGACTAAAAACTCAACTTTTGTAATTGGCTTTCAATTTTGCAGCTGTTACGTATCAATTCAAAATTTCCCCATGTTCAATACAGTGAAATTTCACTGTGTATAAATTCATGATGATGAAATTTCACTATTACTTTGTTTTAAATAAAATTTTGTTACCCTATAGATCAGTGAAATTTCACTTTGAACCGCTAAACATTTGCAATTAACCGTTAATTTGGTAATTGTTAGACATCAATGCAAAATTTCACTATGTTCAAACAATACTGTTCTAAAGTGAAATGAAATTTCAACATCCAAAGTGAAATTTCACTAATTATGATTTCTTTTTAGACAATGAAATTTCTTTTTCGACAACAGCAAACATAATAAAATTTTGTCATTTTATTTTAGAATTTCATATTTATCATGAATCTTATATTATAGATTTTGATGGTACAATTCTAAAATTACAAAAAGTTATTAAATTTTCAAATGAGTTCAAAAAGTAATAAGGGTTACCTAAAGCAATGATATGGCGATATTTTTGTCGAAATGTTTTTCTGTGTTTTGGAGGACCTAAACTAGTATAGTAATTTTTGTCCTTATTCTTCCAAAGAAATATTTTAAGGGGGAAAAAACTATTTTAAAACCAATTCGCTAAATAAACTCTTCTTTTTTCTTTTTTTTCAAAAAATAAAAACACAACCAAGTATACTTTTATTTGAATTTTTTTTTTTTTTGGCGCTCTCCTTTTATTATAAAGGGAAAATTACAAACACCCCTCTCGAGGTTTGGTAAAAATACAGATTCCTCCTTGAGGTTTGAGAAATTACATCCCGCCCCCTAAGGTTTATATTTCCATAACAAATTGTCCCCTGAGATTTTTTTTTTCATACAGATTTCCCCCTAATTTGTTATGCAAATTTGACCTTCAGGAGGTAATTTGTAATTTCTCAAACCTCAGGGGGGAATAAAGAGAGGAGATTCTCTAAACTTCAGTTTAGTCAAACTTCTTTCGAAGCCTAAACTCTAAACCATTTTGAGCCAATTCTCACGAATTTCAGGCTCTGGTAAGATGATCCTACATTTATTTCGTGCTCTTTTAAATCTGGAAATAAACTGAGTAGCTTCTCATCAGGCATTTGACTCCAAATCTTGCCAAGTCGCCATAGAAACCTCTGCTCTGTTTGGAAGAATTGGGGACATGAATGCCTCTTCCCATTTCTTGGCCAAGTTTGGATAGAGCCAGGTGTAAGGTTAATATACCATTATAATGGCTGGCCCCAGTTTAGAGAATTTGGGGACAATCTTAACGTCATATAGTCATTGTTAGTAAAATTCACCACACTGAGAACGACTAGCAATATGTTTCAACCATTGACTGGTTTCCATTTCCATAAAAAAACAGCAAAGTCCGGGTATTCTAAACCCCTTGGGTATTCATGTACCTATTTACCCATTCTGGATATGGCTTCCTATACAACAGAGTTTGAACCCCCGAGCCAATTGGTCCACACATTCTCTCTAAAATGGTCAACATTTGGGTCCTAGGGCATATTTTGTGGCCTATTTGAACGACTACTGGAGGAACAAACAAGAATTTGGCAGACAACTTGTGCTTGGGGTCCTCTTGGTCCAATAGGTGGGTATATTTGGGCTGGTTGTCCCTGTGGTATTTAGCGTGCTGTTGAGAGGTCTGGATGACCTCTTGAGCCTGTCTGCAAAAGGACCTGCGAAAAGTGCTGGAACATGTATTGTGTCTTCTTTCAATTTATAGGAAAACCTTTCCAACCCCCGGGTACAAATTTGAATAAAGGGTTCATGAACCCCCTTGTGGCCAGAATAATGGCTTCGAACATGGATTCGGAAATCTCCTTATGCCATTTTCTTGTATGGACCAGATCCACCAAATTTCATGGCTTCACTGTTAAGTAATGAGGCATTTTGACTTGCCATAGGTCTGCAATAGGTTCATACCAAGTGACTGAGGTTGATGGTCTTTCATAGTTTTGATTAACCAGTTTGACCATTAGAATGCCCATTTAATTTACAAATTAAGCTTGTTTAATCTTTAGCCAAACTTTGCTAAGGACATTTGTAATTTCCTCCATGTGTCTTGTGTTTGTTGGTTGGTGGGTATTCCTTTGATCCAAAAATGATGTTGTCAACTTTTCCATTGTGTTCATTAACTGTTGTCCCATGGCATCTACTAGGCCACCCCATGGATTCATTGGCTGAGTAGATGGAACAGTGGATTGTCCAATTCCTTGGCCTCGTCTAATATTATGAACATGTGGTACTTGTTCCGAAGTGCTAGTCTGTTTGACCATAGGTTCTGATAAAGATGGATGTTTCCACAGGATGTATTATCACATTATCCTTTGATTAGGTATTTCTACCTCTCTTTCCATGCCTTCTTCCAAGCATTCATTTTCTCTTTGTCGCTACGTCTAGCATTTCAATTAGTCCCACTGGGCGTGCCAAAAATATATATTGACTTTTTGGCTTTCGAAGTTTATTTTTGTAATTGTGAGCGTGCTTAGCAAAGATCAATTAGTCTTTACAAAAATTTAATTGCCAACCAATTATCAGACGATTGTGTTTTAAGTTCTCTCAGCCTCAATGAAGAGGACTTTTACTGGTGGCTTTACTTAGGAGGAATAAACTGACAATGATTAATATGAAGAACAATTGCAGTATTTCATTAAGTAAAACGAAAGACTTACAATGATCCAATTCAGCCTCGTAGAGGTTTACAATAACAATTTACTTGAAAACTACTCCTATGTACAAAGTGCA